GTATGCTTGTTGATCTCATCCTTGTACTTATTCTTGACGTCCTCCACTAGCGCCTGCATGTTGTTAAGCTCTGCCTCCGGTGTCAGCTTCTCCTGGCCCAGTAAGTCCAGCTGCTGCCGAAGGTTGTTGATGTAGCTCTCGAACATGTCCATGTTGCTCTGAGCCATATTCTGCTGCTGCAGGAGGCTTCACTTGGTCTCCAGCATCTTGTTCTGCTGCTCCAGCAACCGCACCTTGTCGATGAAGGAGGCAAACTTGTTGAGGGTCTTGATCTGTTCCTTCTCCTGGGTGTACACAGCATGGAGAGTGGGGCCCACCTCCATATTAAGGGGGTTCAGCAGGCTCTGGTTCACTGTGACGGTTGTGATGCTCCCCATACCACCTACCCCAGCATAGCCCCTGCCCAGGTTCAGGCCACCCTGGATGCTGCTGCCCACACAGGAGAAACTTGAGGAGCTGATGTGGGCACCAGGCACACTCGTGTATGAACAACTGCTGAAGGCCTGGGGTCCAGAAGTGGACACCTTGTAGGACTTCTGGGTCACCCTGATGGACGTGGTGGAGGCCGGAGTGGAGGCAGGCAGGCCACACCAGGTAGAGATTTGAGAAGGAGATGAGAAGCTGCTCTAGGTGGGACCTTGCAGATGTTTTTGGTGTGTTAACTCTGATTAATTTTGCTTGCATTTCTCACTGGTGATTCTTTCATGGACTTGATATAGCCAGGTTTTGTGGCAGTGACAGACACATGGCTGCCCACCTATGGGTCTCAGTAGCTGTGCTCTGGGAGGGCCTTGAGTGTCCACAGGGGCCCCTGACAGTGTCCCGGTCTCCCTGCCCTTTCACTCCTGTCCAGTGAGACTGTGCGGGGCTGTGTTTTGTGAGAGGCTGGCTTAGGTGCCACCTCTCTAGTGGCCTCTCTGTTTCTTCATCTCCTTGCTGAGTCCATGACAGCGAGCTCAGCTTCACTGTGCGTGGAGGAGCTCGATGAGAATGTTGACCTCACCTCTCCAGCATAGGGCTGTTTTTAACTGTGGAGTATGCATAAAGCAAATGTACTTCACAGGGCCTGGTTTTCCAAAGCCTTGCAGTTTCAAATATTGACCTTGCAAAGGACAGAAAATTTTCCCCAGGCTATAGACTCTGTTGTAAGATAAAGAATTGTAACATAGCAAGGTTGCTGGTTCAAAGACAGACAGGTTACTGATTAATATGTAAAGATACTCGGAAGCTGATGTAGGGAGAAGGAATGTTTGCTAAGATCAACTTTTGTTGGTGGATCACTTAAATTGCCTTATAGAATGTCACTTTGCTTGTTTCATTGAAAGTTACCAGCCTATATTGTTAAACTATAATCCCACCTGTGTTCTCTTCCTGTAACTTCCTGGTCTGGAGAATAAATGCAGGGCTTAATTTCCCAAATGTGGGGTTAATTTCCCAAATGGAAGGAATGCCTCGCTCTTGAGGGTTCCGGGAGATTAACCCCTTTCAGGGCTTCTCACTGCTCAGAAGAGATCGGCTTTGAGTAATCTTTGTGGCTCCATCGCCCAGGGGAAAAGGGGTGACAAATCCATGGGAGGCAAAGCAACATTAACCTTCAGTGTGGACAGGTTCTGGCAGTCTGTGTGGATGATTTGTTTGGCTAGAACAGCTTTGGAAAACCTGCTCATGACACAGTGGGGGTGTGTGGACCAGCAGAGCAGAGCCTGAGACAGAAGGAAACAGGAGGCTGCCCACTGGCCAGCCAGTCAGAGGCAGCCTCAGGCTCCAGCTCCGCCCAACCCCCAGGGCCACGGTGAAGCCCCAGGCCCGAGGTGAACTCAGCTATCAGTGAGTTCGGTACTTGGCACCCTGGGGGTGAGTGGGGTGAGAGTCTGTGACCCCATGTTCCCTCCGTGGGCACCATCTTCTCTGTCCAGCACACGGAAGTCCTGCTGTTCCTGCAGCCTTGGGACTCTCTGTGCTCCTGGTCACCTTGCTGCAGGGAAGCCATTAGCACCCGGTGTGACACACACACATTCCTGCTGGCAGAAAACGGCTGTGCCGTCTCATCTGTGGGCTCGGCACCTGCGTTGCAGTTACTGGCGGCCGCATGACAGTTGTTTCTACTGGGCAGTGAGCCAGCGGCTGTGGCTGCACCAGCGTTGGTCCCCCAGTGTCTAGCAGTGCGCCTGGTCCTGCCGCTAGGCTGCGCCAGCACCCACTGCCACCCTCACCACTGATGCCACCGACCCTCCCTTCACTGGCCTCCCCTAGGTTCTCATCAGCTCCTGGGACACTACCGGCTCTTCACCCCACGTCCCTTAGCTTCGTTTTCCAGGTGTGAGGTGTTTTTTAGGATTCAGCCGCCCCTTAAATTTGAACACACCCCAGCCACCAAAGCCTTGGCCCCATGCTCATCCTGTCCACTCCCTTCCTGCCATGGCCTCGTTCCTCTGTGTTGAGATCGTGTCAGGGCCTCTTCAGGCCCAACTGCGCCAGGATGGCGCCTGGGACACTCAGACGCCCCTCTGCTCACCTCCATCTCGTTGGGGAGCCTCAGGCTCAGACCTGGTCTAGGGTGTGGGGTCTCCTCCTGTGACCTCATCTCCACCCTCATGCAGACGCAGCTTGAGGCAGGCGCCTGGTTCTCACTTGGTGGGACTCAGAGTGTGCAACACCAGGTGTGCCGTGAGTGTAGACCATGCCCCAAGTATCAAGGACTTAGCACAAAAAGGAGAATGTAAGGTGGCTTAGGTTTCTTTTACACTGACTTATTGTTGAATGATCATATTTTATATACACTGGGTAAAATGAAATACTTGTATATGATTAGCAAGACTTTCACCTGTTTCTTTCATGTGTTGGCATGGCCACCAGGAAGTTCATAGAGCGCAGCTCTGTTGTAAGTCTCTGGGCAGCACTGGCCCAGGCCCCCTCTGGTCTGCTGTGGTCATCAGTCCCCCCCGCCCCTTCCATCCTGATGTCTCCTGACGACGTGCTCGCAGCCACCTCTTCTAGGGTCTGGAGGCCCATCTGTCCTCTCCTGCCTGTTGGCTCCCGACTCCACATTCTGCCCTCAGCCTTGAGTGTTAGCTGTGTGGGTCCTTTTCCCATTAAACGCTAGCTGCCAACACCCACCTTCCTGCCCGGCAGCCTCCACCCTCCTGCTGTCTCTGTGAAACTGGCTGCTCTGGTTTGTTCTTCTGCGCTTGGCTCGTTCACTCAGCCTGATGTCCTCAAGGTGTGTCCATGTTGTAGCATGTTGCAAACTTTCCTTCCTTTTTAAGGCTGAATAATAGGTCTGTACCACATGTCTGTCCATTCATCAGTTGGTGGACATCTTTGACTGCTGTGAGTAATGCTGCTGTGAACACGGGTATATAAAGATCTGTTCAGGTCCCTGCTCTCAGTTCTGTTGGTTGTATACCCAGAAGTGGGATTGCTAGGTTATGTGGTAGTTTTATCTTTAATTTTTTTGAGGAGGTGTTTTGCACAGTGGCTGTACCATTTCACATTCCAAACAGCAGTGTGTATGGTTCTGTTTCTGTACATGCTCATCAGCCCTTTTATTCTGTTTTTTTTTGATAGTAGTCATTCCCATGGGCGTGAAGTGGTGTCTCATTGTGGTTTTAATTTGCATTTCCCTGATGACCAGTGATGTTGACCATCTTTTCATGTGGTTGTTATCCATTAGTATATCTTCTGTGGGGAAATATCTAGTCAAGTCTTTGCCCATTTTTGAATCAGGTTGTTTACTTTCTTGTTATTGAGTTGTAGGAGCTCTTTATATGTTCAGGATCCAAGTTCCTTATCAGATACATGATTTGTAAATATTTTCTTTGGTTTCATGGGCCTTTTCACTTTGTTAATTTGTGTCCACAGAAGTTTTAAATTTTGGTGAAGTCCCATTAATCTGTTTTTTCTTTTGTTGCCTGTGTTTTTGGTGGTGTCAATGTCAAGAAGTCAATGACAAACAAATCCAGTGTCATGAAGATTTTCCCAATGTTTTCTTCTAAGAGTTTTGTAGTTTTAGGAATTACATTTAGGTCTTTGATCCATTTTGAGTTAAATTTTGTATATGGTGTAAGGTGTAAGGGTCCAATTTCATCTTTTTCTTAGAAACTTTTTAATGAGAACTTTCCATTAGTCATCTGCCATCGACTCTTTCCCAGAGAATGTAAAATAGAAAGACACCTGCCAGACTGACCTCAGAGCAGTTTCCCATGTCCCTTGGACCCTCACCTGTGTCCTATGTCCATCTGGCCACCTGTCCAGCCTGCTCTTGCTGTAGCTGGGGCTTCCTCAGGAGCTCACACAGGCTCGCACCCTGCTGTGTTCTGAGAGGCAACGCCCACCCTGCTGTGATCTCAGACTACACGCTGTGTTCATCCCTCCTCTGGCCCTGCCTCCACCCTCCCCATTTCTAGCTCAGATGGCAGCAGTGTTCTCAGACCTGGTGAAGGACTGGGGTGGGAACTGGGGCTTGGATCTGAGAGCAGCTTGGAAACCCACCCTCACTGTGCAGCCCAGCCCCACAGGATGGCCAGCCCCAATGCCTCTCAGCCTCATCCACCAGCAGCCTTGCCCTGGACCTGCTGACCTAAGGGTGTGGTCAGGCATGGGCGTGTCACCCCTCGCAGGCTCCCTGGCAGGTTTATCTCCGTTATCTGATGTTTTCCCACAGTCCCCTTGAAGCTTCCTCTGCTAAAGCCTCATCTAATTTGCTAATTTGTGTGAGTGCTTGTGAATGTGGTTTCTACAGTAATATCATCGGCAAAAGATATTGTTCTAGCAACTAAGTGTGTAGTAATAATAATGGCGTGCAGTAATTGAGCCCTTATTATGGGTTAGGCACATTAGAAGACTCATAAAATGAACTCACGTAACCATCAGAACACTCCTGAGAGGAGGCGCTGTCACTTCCTTCTCCTCACACCAACCTTGACCTGCTCAGGCCTCTCTTCATACTGACCTTGACCTGTACATGCACTTGAGGTTGTTTTCTCTCTCTGTCTCCCTAGACTTCGATCCCCACCACTTCTGGCACTGGAGCAGCTTCTCAGACTACGTTCAGTGTGTCCTGGCCTTCACAGGTGTGGCGGGCTACATCACGTACCTGTGCATTGACTCGGCCCTGTTTGTGGAGACCCTGGGCTTCCTGGCCGTGCTGACCGAGGCCATGCTGGGCGTGCCACAGCTGTACCGCAACCACCGCCATCGCTCCACGGAGGGCATGAGGTAGGCAGTTGTGCTGCTGAGGATGTCCCCTCAGCACCAGGGGCACTATTCCTGTGCCCACAGACTTGGTAAAAATGAAACGTGTGCAAATCTAGCTGCCTTATTTTCTATTGTGGTTTGTAAAGCTGCTGGTTAAGGAGCAAATAGGATTTAGACATGCTGGTCCTTTGACCTCTCATCTCAGCAGATATTTTCATGTGTGAAGGAGGGAGGGAGCCGAGCCCCTCTAGTGATGCAGGGAACATGTCCTAGGTGGGATGGTGGTGCTGAGCCTGGGCAGGCCAGGAGAGTAGGGGGTGGCACCAGGAGTGGTGGTGGGTCGGGATTCTCTTGGAAAGGTCTGCTCGTCTACTGTGGGTGTTGCTGGTGTCTGGACCTGCCTTTGGCTTCTGTCCTCTGTGACTCTTTCCCCAGAGGCCCATCACAGAGGATGCCCCCAGTCCCCGCCTGTCACAGAGGATGCCCCCAGTCCCCGCCTGTCACGGAGGATGCCCCAGTCCCCACCTCTCACAGAGGATGCCCCAGTCCCCGCCTATCATGGAGGATGCCCGCCCATTGTTCACATTTTGCTGAGGCGAGGTCTCCTTTCCTGATACATGCTGTCTTATTGAGATTTTAGGAATGATTATCAAATCTCTTGTACTGGTGGGAAAACAAAGTCTGTAAAATAAAGAAAAGTAGGTGGATTTTTTCCATCATTCAGGAGTTTGTGTTCTCAGTTATGAGCTGTAGGGTCTCCTTCAGTTCTCTTGACAGACTTTGGGGCATTCACAGGTGTAAGATGTAGGCACAAGTGTTAGTACAGGTATAGGATGTGAGTACAGGTACAGGGTAGGTATAGGTATGAGGCAGAGGTACAGGTGTGAGGTTTTGGTACTGGTAAAGTTGCATAGGTGTGAGGTATTGATACAGGTGTCAGGTTAGGTGTGGGTGTAAAGTAGGTCTGTGTGTGAGGTGTAGGTACAGGCTTGAGGTTTAGGTATGGGTGTAAGGTAGTACAGGTATGAGGCATGGGTACAGGTGTGATGTGTAGGTACAGGTGTAGGTTGTAGGTACAGGTGTACGGTGTAGGTATAGGTGTGAGGTAGGTGTAGGCTGTAGGTACAGGTGTAGGGTGTAGGTATAGGTGTGAGGTAGGTACAGATGTAGGGTGTAGGTACAGGTGTGAAGTGTAGTTCAGCTGTGGGCATGACGTGTGGGCAGGGAGCAGGGAGACATTCTGGCTGGTGGGGTCACAGTGAACAGAGGTGGCTGGGTTGCTGTGGTTTCCCAGGGGTAGGTGGGCAGAGATCTAGGCTGGGCATTGGGAGGTTCCCTTAGAATTGGAGTCGGGACAGTGACAGTCCCCAGGCTTCTGGCTTGGGGTCACGGGGGAGGTGATGCCCCCCAGGAGCCAGGCAGGAGAGGCAGCAGTCTGCAGGCAGAAGCGCCTGCTTGTGGCATGCTGGTGGGGGCTATGGAGTTGGGTTTGTGATCAGCACAGGCGCAGAGCCTTGTCTGTGAGTTGGGGTCACCAGGTTGCCCCATGCTTGGAGATTGGGCAGAAGGCCTCTGGATACCCTGCCTGGGATGGTCACAGCTGCATGGTAAGGGTCCTGTCCTCTGTCCGCCTATGTGGACTTCCCAGTGTGCTACCCCCAGGAACACGCTGAGTGCGTGTGCTGTCTCGACCCAGAGAAGCCCACTGGCTGCTCCTGGGGCCCCTTGGCTTGGCAGGTGCCAATGCTCCTGACTCCCAGGGAAGTCCAGTGTTCTTTGCACAATCAGTCTCAGTATGCGGACCACCCTTGTCAGTTGAGGAGCAAGGGAATCCCCCACAAATCCAAGTTCCCAGTTGCCAGCCTGTCTCAGGGCAGCAGCAGCATTGGGCCTTGAGGTCCACCCTTTCTGCTCATGTGAACGCTCCAGAAACACCCAGGGCGGGGCAACTGTCCGAGTACCTCCTCACTGCCCCAATTCTGTGGCACAGTGTGGATGCTGCGAGGTGGCGGGCGCCCGGGCAGATGAAGGGTCAGGCGGGCTCAGAACCCAGAATGTGTCCTTGGGCCCAGAGAGCAGTTCTCCACACCAGAGCACCTGGCTTTCTTCTGCTTATGGGAGCTCAGATGTGGAATGCAGCGGGATGGCACACTCACCTGCTTCCTCAGCACGCAGTGGGGGGCTTGGCCTCTGTCCCAGCTGGAAGGGGCCTTCAAATTGGTGTGTTGTGATAAGGACTGGGACAGTGTCCTGAGGCCACTCTCTGTAAGGAAGCAACTTGCTAATTCAGTCAGCTCCAAGTGCAGGACCCTGTCAGGACACTGTTTGTCCTCCCTAGGAAAGACTGACCTAATAACCCTGGTGCTGTCCTAGAGAATCCAGCTCTGAATAATGATGTAATTAGGTTAGTTGCTCGTTCCATGTTGCTGAGGGCTGAAGTGCCCTGGAGCAGCCGCTGCTGCTTGTGAGGGGGGCTGGGCTGAGCCCGCACTCTCCTCCGTCGCTGCAGGGCTGTGCTGTGGTGGAGGCTTTCCGAGGACCCTGTTGCAGCCCTGTGGTGAGCTGGGGTCTCCGCCTTCACCCTCTTTGCTGTGTTGTCTCTCACAATCTCCACGTGGGGTCCACAGCCCCATCCCCCCTCCCCCCAGCCTGCTGAGCCCGGTCCTGCCCATTCTCTGGATGCGGCTCAGCATCCCCTCTGTGTGCCTCCTGCTGCTCCTGTGACACCTGCCTTAGGACCAGTGTCCCAGGGCGGCCTCTGGTGTTGTGGAGGTTCTCAGGTAGCCTCAGCAAGTTACTGGCACCCCAGACACTTGCTGGACAGCCTGTCAGGAAGCCTGCGAGAGGTGCCTCAGGTTCCCCTGTGCTCTGACCTTCTCCAGAAGGAGCATCGTGGCCCCCAGACCTGGTGGGATTCATGATTCTTGAAGCTGCTGTGGGTGGTGGTTTCTGAATGTGAGTTTGACAGTGTGTACATACTTCCTGGCTTATGATCTCCAGTGTTGTGTTTAAAATGACACATTTAAAGTGTGTTTGTGCATTCACACAGGCTCACAGGTGCGTGAGAAACAGTTTGATGGCAAGTGGTGGATAAGCCTGGGAAGTGACAGTATAGGGTTGGTTTTGTCTCCTTTCCCTGAGACTGACCTGGGCCAGGAGGCGTGGATGCTACCCAGGAGCTGCTGTGGGACCTGTGGCCTCAGCTCCACTTTAAACAGATTGTTGTTAGGGTGTTTGTGTGTAGGAGGGGACCCATGGGTTCCTATTTGAGTTGCTAACTGGAGTAGACTCGTAGTAGACCTCCTTCCAGAAAGTCCTGCCTCACGTATACAGAGGGGTGTGCACACGTGCCAATGCACGCACACACATGTACAAAGGGGTGCACTCACAAATGCACACGTGTACAAATTGTGCACATGTGCACACGCTCCCCCCCATGTACATAGGCATAGGTGTGCACGTTTTTTTTTAACCTTGGATCAACTGACAGATATTTTTGAATAATGATTTCCTTTTAAAAAATATTAAGTGGTGTGGCTTCTGAAGCAGTGATGGCAATGATACAGCTTTTGAAATGGGTTTACTAATTCTAATGCAGCAAGCTCTGAAAGACAAATTCTGTGGGAATATTTGCATTCTTCTTCCTCCAGGTTTTACCAGATTTGAAGATTGTTCCCCAACAAGTAATTATCAGAGAGCCAGAGGTGGGTGTAAAAGATGAGAAGGACAGGCATATAAGAAATTCTGCAGCAGGATGATTGTTACTGAGCAGTGGGAAAGGCATGTGCTGGGGCAGCCGCTGGAAATGCAGAACACGAAGGCAGAGACGTCCAGAGGAGAGTGTGGGGCAGACACGCACTTGCAGGGCCCTGGCGGCCAGTGGCTGCCGTGGCTGCAGAGGACAAACTGATGAGGAGGAAGGCTGGGTACACAAGCAGCTGTGGTGTTGAGGAGGAGGCTGGTGAGCAGAGGGTGAACCGTGTCTGTGTGTGCCTCTCAGGGCCACTCTGGCGACTGCCAGGTCAAGCCAGGACACTGGGCTTGTGTGCCATCAACAGGCAGTCCTTGCCTTGAACTCCAGAGCAGGCCATGGCAATTCTCAGCCTCCTGAGGAGTGGAGCACGTGTCCCCATTTGGTGCTTGATAGGCCCGTAGTCCTGTCGGTGCAGGGTGCCATGCATGGTGTTTGTGAAGCTCCCGCGCACGTGGTCCAGCAGGCCAGCGCAGCCGAATGGAAGGCTGCAGTAGTTGGAGTTCAGCAGAAGCCTTGGAACATTAAAAATAACTCTCCTGAGATGTAATTCACATACCACACAATCACCTGTTTGAAGTTTACCACTCAGTGGCCTTTAGTCACAGAGTTGTGCACCCGCCACCACAGTCTAATTGTAGAG